TCAGTAGCAGGCCAGTTTTGTAGACACCTGGTGTGTCAGCAATGCTATGCTGAGTGGTTAACATGGCACAGACTGGAGCATAGCATTGGGCTAAGAGTACATCTCAGTGCTTCTCTTGTGGTTTCTGCCCACCAAAATACTTGTGGTAACTTCAAGGAAAAATATTTGCAGAGAAGTAAACATGCAGGACTGTGTTTCTCAGGATTATGTTCCTTAGTTTTTTTAAACCGTTTGCTTCACAATCTCTTCAGATGTTTTTGGACTGCAACTTTCATAATCCCTTACTGTTGTCCATCCAGATTGGACATGATGGGTATTGTTTGTGAAAAACCTCTGGAGGGCTACAGCTGCTTTAGCTCCTTGGCAGAAGAGGGCATGATAAGAAAGAGAAGGTGATGGGAAGAGAAAAGGAGGGAGGCATACGCTTCTGCCCTGCTCACCACAGGCACTCAGAATGTGGTTCTTGTCTTTCACCGCACTTTCACCCCAAAGACAGGCTGCCCACTTGTAGAGAAAGATAACTTTTTTTCTTGAACAAAAAGTAGGCTGGAACTCTGGGAAGCCCCGCAATATTGTTGGCACTGGGGAAACACATGAGGGGATGTTCCTCTACAACAAGTGTGAGATAAGTACAGTTGTACAATGCTGGCCCTTGAATAATGTACCTTAATGCAGTATTGGTCTGGCTTGTTTTTCATGTCCACACAAAGAATAAAAACGGAGGTGAGATGAAACTGCAAACGCTCACCACCACCACCACCACCACCACCAACAACAACAACAACAACAGCAACAACAATAATAATAAACTCTGACTTCAAACCTCTGCTGCCTTGTGGCTATATCCACTGATGGAAAAGGCTTCAAGAGTTAACCTTAAGGCAAAATCCGGAGCCAGAGTCCCGGAGGCAGTTCGTGTCATTCTGTCAACTCCTGCGACTTTGCTGAAACCAGTTGTATTGGCTGTTGCCTTTCCATTGGACTATTTCAGTGATGTGGAGAGGGGGGATTTGCTGCTTGGGTAACAGCCTATACTCCATATTATTTTATCCAGTCTTCGTGCCCTGGAGAGGACACTCCAGCTTCACGTACAGCGTCAAAACATTAGACGCTGTTCCAAGTCCTCCATACAGAGCACATTACCATAGTCTCTCGAGACTGAAGGATGCCTATGAAGGTTCTGTTAGGAAAAATGGATGACTTCCCATTCCTTATTACAGTAATATAACAAAACAAAATAGACATAGTTAACCTTTACACAGTTATTTTCTTTCTCACTTTGTTTCTTTAATGCCCTGTTGCCCAAAGTCCTGCCAAGTCTGTAGTGGCATTACAGGCTTTGCTGGCATGGAAGTGGAAATTTCTGCTTTACGCAGAAGTCCTCTTGAGTAAACCTGAAGCAGCAGGGTTTTTGTGGCATGACCTGCAGAGGCATAACTAGTTCCTTCTTTAGCTGGCATAGTCTGGAGGATCAGATAGTTGCTGTGAGAAATCATTTTTTATTGCCAGATCAGTAAATTGTTAATAATTTATCTAAATATATAGCATATTAGAATTTCAACTTTTAAGAATGGGCATCCACTGTTCTTGGTTTATTTTCCAGTTTTTTTTTATGTGCCATCCATGTGTTGCATGTTATTGATTAATAGTTGTTGTACAAGTATTGCTTTTCTCTTAGTTAGTTGTCAGTCCAAAACTTTTCAAGCAATAATATTTCTTGTATTAATACAATTGTTTGTGTGGTAGGCTATTATTTATGCAGACCTACAATTGTTCAAATTGTATTATATGTAAAAAGGAAAATCTCCTACTTTCTTATCATGGTATTGTTGATGGCAATGTTTTTCAACTGTAGTTTTGATTTCTACCATCATTTGTTTTGTGCTGGTTCAATTCTCATGTGCCAATTCATACAGAATCATGAAAACATTACATTCATAGCCTTTAAAAAAACATGCACTGATGTTGAGAATTTCTAAGAGTTTGCAAACTGAAGTATATTAGGAAAAACAAGTGACAAAAATTGCAGCTAAAAGAATTAGTATGTCAGTAACCGTTTATTGCTACTAAATGAACTTTATGGGGGTATTTTCTTTCTTCAAAGGTAAACGTGAAACTGCCGGCGCAAAGCTCTTGACAACTTACCAGAAATTAAGGTAAAGTCAAGGGGGAGGATTTGTCCTAAAAAGGGTGATGCAATATTAAGAGATTTATTATACAATATGAAATATACTTTCACATGAAACTTCCACAAAATACCAGTGCTTTGTTAAACATTTGTAATGCAGCAAACAAAATGGCGAGACTTTTTATTGCATACATTCAGCAAAGCATTACTGTATTAGCCAAAATACAAGAACCTAAGAAGAATCGTGTTGTATCAGAGGAAAGGCCTCCTTAGTCTAGCATACGTCTTGGACAATGCCGGCCAGTTGCCCATAGGAAACTTACTTGTACTGCCATGCATGCAGGAGTAATATTTTTGGGATACCAATGAAGCAGCATGCAGTTTGGGGTGAGTGATGCAGGATCTTTTGCACAGAAAATACTAGTCATAATCCAAAATCATATAGAGCTACTCCCTTGGGTCCTTTTTAAGGAGAAAAGTGGGGTAAAATATTTTAAATAAATAAATATATAAAATAAGTAAATTGTGTTTCTGCATTCTTAGCAACACTGTAGAGATCCTGAGAGGAGCAAGGGGAATTCTGGCAGCAAATTGTCTAGGCCTCCTCCATCTTGTGTTCTGATCTGAAAGACACTATTTGGAAGTCTTCCTTAGATTTCAGAATAAGTAATCAAGTATCATGTAGCTCAGAAACTGCTTTTGCTGAAGATGCTTAATCAACATGACTTTCAGTGTAGCATCACTGAATGCGGTGTAGATTAAACACTGTTATTACAATTTTTATCATTGTATGAATTTATTATTTTAGCTTTTAACATTGTTTCATTTAATACTGTGCCTTGGATCCTTTAGGACAGAGGTCCCCAATCTTTTTAACCCCGCAGACCAGCTGGGGAAGGTGGGGCACCCCCTCACATTTGCATGCATGCGTGAAGGAGCGCACCGTGTGCATGTGTGCAAGCATGCTCCGGCCCCTGCTAACACACCACACCCCCACAAGCATGCCACCCTGGTCCACAGTCAGGAAAAGGTTGGGGACCACTGCTTTAGGAGAAAGACAGCATATAAATATTTCGGAAGGAAGGAAGGAAGGAAGGGAGGGAGGGAGGAAGGAAGGAAGGAAGGAAGGAAGGAATAGAAAACACATCTCTGTCAAGCTGATTAATGGAACCTACGCTCTAAAGTATTTAGGAAATATTAAGATTATGACAAATTTCAGCTACAGCCATCCAAAGAACTGCCTCATCCTTCAACACTGAGGAATGCTGAGTTTAAATCCAGGTGGCACACTCTGTGTTGTGTCTTCTGAGGAATAGAAGGGAGCTGTTGTGCTTAGGGAGCCATTTCTAAGGCCAGATGTTATAACCTTTTGGCCATAACCACAATGAAGTAAGCTATTGAGCTTATTATTAAGATAAAAGTGATGGAGGGATTAAGTTGTTTGTAAATGTTCAGTAAATACTTGCTAAATACAGTGGTGCCTTGCTTAACGAGTGCGCCGTATAACGACGAATCCACATAGGATCCCGTTTTTGGGATCACTAATGCAGAGGCATAGCGTCGGCCCCAATGGGCAAAACTTGCATAGTGAAGATCGGTAAGCGTTTCGCTTACCGATCTTCGCTTTGCGATGCCCGTGGATCAGCTGTTTGGCGGTTACAAAATGGCTGCCGGACGCCTAAAATGGCCGCGCGCAGCGTTTTCGTGCCCTCCCTCGCTTACCGAGGGCATGAAAATGGCTGCCGGACCCTGGAAACTTCGCTAAACTGTGAGTTTTGTGCCCATTTGGGTTCCCCGTTCCATTTAGCGAAGTTTTCACATAGCGAAGGTTAATCTGGAACGGATTAACCTCGCTATGCGGGGCACCACTGTAGTTGTTCTGGGTTTTTCGGGCTCTTTGGCCGTGTTCTGAAGGTTGTTCTTCCTGTCGTTTCGCCAGTCTCTGTGGCCGGCATCTTCAGAGGACAGCAACCTGTACTCTGATGTAGTTGGCTTGGGAGTGCAGTATTTGCTAAATACCTTTTATCTTGCTAAATACCTTTTCACATTTACAGCTCTACTGAAAGACTAAAAGTGAAAAATAAATAACCAAGATTTACAGGAATGTGACAAGTAGACAGTAAATTGACTGTATAGATATTATTCACTGAATGTTTTGAGTTAATTACTTAACCTGGAATGATGTTTTCTCAGCAAAATACTTAACTATAACATTGAATTTAGGCCCTTAGTTACTAGTTGACATGTAGTACTTTTCTTTTCCTGCTATTGTTTAAGCTTAAATTTAATTTGGTGAGTAGGCATTGTGTTTCCATACATTCTACTAAGCTGGCTGGATAGCTAAGCAGTGTAGGTAAGAGGCTGGGAGTTTGATTCCTCACTGTGCCTCCTGGGAGAAGAGTCAGCCTTTGTAGCCATGGGCAAGCTGCACAGTCCCAGGGCACCCCCAGAAGAAGGGAATCTTAAACCCTGAAAAAGGTCACTATAAGTTGGAGTCAATTTGACAGCAGCTAT